TGTTTCGTCTGTCCACAGCACATTCTCCCAAAAGGATTTTGGCTTCCTCAGGTAAGTTTTGGCAAACTCCAATTTGACTTTTTTATGTTTCTGTGTCAGCAGTGGGGTCCTCCTGGGTCTCCTACTATAGCGTCCCTTTTCATTCAGATGGCAACATATAGTGTGAGGTGACACAGTTGTACCCTGTGCCTGAAGGTCAGCTTGAATTTGTCTGGAAGATGGAGGTTCTTTAGCCACCATTCGAACAATCCCTTGTTGCAATCTTTGATCAAGTTTTTCTCTTTCATCCACATACAGGGAGATTAGCTACAGTGTCATGGGCTGTAAACTACTTGACAATGTTGAGCACAGTGGACACAGGAACATTAAGGTCTGCTCATTAATACAGGTGAGTTTAATTACAGGAGCATCACAAACGTGGAATGCAATTATCTCATACAATTTTGGGAAGGTGCCAGTCTTTGTCCAGTCCATTTTTGGGATTTTGCGTGGAATGTGTCAGATTTGTTTTTTTGTTTCTCCACTTTTTTGTGTCATCCAATACAAACAAAAGAAGTAAACATGAGAATACCTAAAAATGTGTACCGTATTTTTCGCTCCATAAGACGCACTTTTTTCCCCCCAAAAAAGGGGGGGAAATGTCAGTGCGACTTATGGAGCGAATATAAAGCGGCCGGTCCGGTATTTCTGCCGCCACCATGTCAGAATACCGGGCCGGCCGCTCAGCTGTTCTCTCCTGCAGGGCCTTACCTGTTCCTCGCTCCAGCGCTGCACAGTCTTCCCGCGCTGGCTTCTGTGACAGCCGGGTGCCCGCTGCGCTTTGTGAATGATCCGGTGTCTTCTGGGACACATGACAGGTCCCAGAAGGCGCCGGGCCATTCACAAAGCGCAGCGCTTCTCGCGCATGCGCAGTGCGCACCCGACTGTCACCGAAGCCGGCCCGGGAAGAAGAGAGAAGGACAACTCCGCGGAAGTGGGAGCGGGTACCTGTCAAATTCAGGTACCCGCTCCCCCTCCCTCCCCAAAGGTCTGCAGTCTCTGGTCATCCCCTGCACTGTCTGCAGTCTCTGGTCATCCCCTGCACTGTCTGCAGTCTCTGGTCATCCCCTGCACTGTCTGCAGTCTCTGGTCATTCCCTGCACTGTCTGCAGTCTCCGGTCATTCCCTGCACTGTCTACAGTCTCTGGTCATTCCCTGCACTGTCTGCAGTCTCTGGTCATTCCCTGCACTGTCTGCAGTCTCTGGTCATCTCTGTACTGTGTCCGCAGTCTCTGGTCATCTCCTGTACTGTGTCTGCAGTCTCTGGTCATCTCCTGTACTGTGTCCGCAGTCTCTGGTCATCTCCTGTGCTGTGTCCGCAGTCTCTGGTCACCTCCTGTGCTGTGTCCGCAGTCTCTGGTCATCTCCTGTACTGTGTCCGCAGTCTCTGGTCATCTCCTGTACTGTGTCCGCAGTCTCTGGTCATTCCCTGCACTGTCTGCAGTCTCTGGTCATCTCCTGTACTGTGTCAGCAGTCTCTGGTCATCCCCTGTACTGTCTGCAGTCTCTGGTCATCTCCTGTACTGTGTCCGCAGTCTCTGGTCATCTCCTGCACTGTGTCCGCAGTCTCTGGTCATCCCCTGTACTGTGTCCGCAGTCTCTGGTCATCTCCTGTAGTATGTCCGCAGTCTCTGGTCATCCCCTGTACTGTGTCTGCGGTCCATTGGTTCAGAATATTTTTTTTTCTTGTTTTTCGCCTCTAAAATCTAGGTGCGTCTTATGGTCAGGTGCGTCTTATAGAGCGAAAAATACGGTAATTGCAACTATTTTCTGGGTGAAGTGGTGCATTATCTGACAGAAATGCAGGGGTGCCAAAATTTTTGCCCCTGACTGTGCATTTGCAACTCTTATGTCTGTAATCTTGCACAGCCAACTGAGACAGTTATGCAGACATCAGCAACATATTGTACTTCCAATAATTTTTCACTGAAAACAGTAAAAAAGTATTCAAGAGAAATTGTACATACTTTTGAGACGTAGAGGACAGAATTTAAAATATAAGTAAGGCAAAACTTCTTTTTTTTTTTAATTTGGACAGAGTGTAGAGCAACTAGAACATCTGTCAGATTTGTTTTGCCATCTGTGTCCCCATTAGTAAAATTCACCCTCACTGTATGTCCTGTTTGCTGTTGTTACTGAGTTTTAAAGTAAAAAAAAAATCCCACATTTTGAGTTGTCACCAGAAAAGGAATAGAGGGGAAATCTTCCAACAGGACACTAGATCTGGTGACAACCGGGAATTCCTTCACTTCTTTTCACTTCACGCTTTGGCTATGGGACAGGAAGTGAAGGGAAATCTCCCCAACTGGACACAGTTGGCAAAGAAAAAAGCTGACAGGTTATAACCCTCCCTCACTGTATCCAAAATTAAAAAAAAAGTTTTGCCTTTAGTTTTACTTCAAATATTGAGCGTTGCGCATACACTGAATACACTGAATTTCCTGCTGTTGGCTGTGCCCCCTGCTCACCTTCATCCAGAGTGAAGGCACTTTAATACAGGAGATGTGTTATTGACCAGATCACCGGGTGTTTTTGGTTTGATACCACATTGAAGTAATCATGGCTGCACTTCAGTTTAGTTCTCATTGCTTTACCTTTCGGCAAATATGGTCCACTGTGTTCCAAATGAAACTGTATACATGTATCAAATAGCGAAGTCCAATGAACACAGAAATGTAGGCAGTTCTAGGGGTTTGTTATCTGACACTGTTTTATGCACTTTCTGGAGCTGGTAGACAGTATGTAAGGTCAGACAGTAGATATGGCAGTAAAGGTTATACTTCAAGTGACCCTGTGACCCCAATATTTAAGCGGAAGAGTCAGGTTTTGACAAAGACTAGGACTGTGCAGTTATAATAATTCTCCATTTGTGGCTTTCTACATATTGGGCTTTTAGCCCCAGTGTATGAGATTCTGGTGTTTCGTGCGGGTGGAAGTACAGGTGCACCGTCCAGTCCCCGCTGCCTGGAGCCTCTAGAACTCAGTGAGAGGCTGACTCGGGGCAATTTGCAACTGATACAAACTGCCAAGTACCAGCTTTTCAGCCTTTCATAGGGCTTGTACACATGTGCAGTACGGACTGCTCCTCCTCCTAAATGTGGTCCCCATCTGGATTGCTTTTCATAGGAGTTTGACAGGTGGTAAGGAAGCGATATGTCGCATCATCACCAGTTGTGTTAACCCCCAAAGTGCTGCACCATGTGGCACACAGTTGCAGGGCAGATGCAGAGCAGCCCATTCACCTAAATGGGTCATGTTCTGCGGGCAGTGGTGCCCGCTGAACATGATGGAGGTACAGTATTACTCCTGTCACAAAGCATCACGGCTGTGTCATGTGTACACCCCCCGGCTGCTGTCTTTTCAAGTAAAGAGGGAGACATTGTGCGGCAGTAGAAATGTGATTCAACCGGGGGGTTTTACTGCCCCCAGCCTGCAAGTGTGTTTTACAGGGCATTATAATATCAATGTGCAGCGCTAATAAAAATGTGTGTTATAATCAATGATGACCAGTGTGATAGTAAAAGAGAAAGGAAACATCATAAAAAAAGAAATAGAGAATAGTGAATACTTCAATGAAGAAACAAAATGGACGGTATACCAAATAACAAATGAAAATAAATAAGTCCTCTAAATATCATAATAGTCCCAAAAATAGTGATGTGATCAAATCAACAAAATGTAGTGACTTCCGCACTGCATCTCCACCATAATGCACTCACCAGAAGTAAGTAGCAAGCAAGCCCAGAGCAGAATGACACTAAGGGGTGTCCCTGCTTGTTCCTCCTGCAGGTGACCCGGTTGAAGGTGGGATCTCTCCAGAAGCCAGTGATACACCAAATGAACAATCAAAAGTAGAGTAGCCAAGTCTCCATCTCCAGCCCATGGTGAACCAAAGAAAGGGATTCCTCCTAGAGGGCAAGCTCATAGACCGAGCCCGGAGACGGTATCATATAGTGTAGTAGGTTTTATTAAAAAGATAGCAACCACATGGAGCATAAAATCATCAATGGATAAAAAGCACTTACAAAGATGGCCGCCGGACCATCACGTGGACGCGGCAGCGTGATGTCAGCACATAGGATCCTCTCTGACGCGTTTCGTGCGCACGCACATTCTCAAAGGGATCCACCAAGATGGAGAGCATGAACTCACCACCTCACCTCTCCACCTCCTCCAATCAGAGAGAGAAAATATAAAGCATTCTCTGAATGTAGCCCATACCAAGTGGCCAACCTCCTGTATTCAGAATGCAGCAGGCCAGACAGTACAGGACCCAGAAGCAACTGGCGATCACTTGATTAGCAATGTTCATTTCAGTGATTTCCAGCTGTCAAGGGCATCAGCCAGGTATGGTATATATAGTTACATTGGTCCATGCCTGGAATTCCACTTTAAGACATAAAAAAGATAATAAAAAGATAAACGACATTCAACCCTACTGAGCAGTCAACAGCAGCATTCAGGAACTTCCAGATCTCATTGGGTGCCCAACTGCCCATCATTGATCTGATATCTATAGTTGTAAGCAAGCACAAGGCTTATACCAAGGGACTAAGATTAAAAGTTTACATTTCAGGCTTTTAGAACTTTTTTTTCTAACTCTTTGAATACTTCTGTGCTAAATAATGTCAGTATTAATAGAATTCTATATCCCTTTATACATAAAGTATCAGATACCAGTGGGAATACAAGTGTATTATTCCATTTGTATTTTATACATTTTTATTTTCCAAATTTTTCCTAACTATGGGAACTCTTCCATCAGAATATATATTTTCCACACAATCTTTTTAAATAAGATATAGCAATGTATACCAGAAAAACATTAAGATATTATGTGAGGATAACTACTGGAAAGTGGGTTATTCTGCTTTCTTTATACAGAGGAAATCATAGAGGAAATGATTAGTCAACACATTGCATACATGAACAGGAAATAATCAAAGCAGCGTTGGCAATACTTAATTCATCATAGATTCAAATTCATCTATCCTTTGTTTTGTGTTTCCTTTGCGGATCTTCCGATATGATACGGTGTCGTATCTGGAATAATTATTCCTGGAGATGTCTGGCCGGTTTCCAGGTTCTTGCTGATCTGAGTTGGATTCAAGAAGGCTGCCACTTGGACTGACCGAGAAGATTGGCCTGGGTCTATTTTCTTGTTCATCACATGACCCTTGTCCATTATCATTGTCAGTTTCAATGGATGTGTTTTCTTCCTCTGTCTCAGTCAGCATCTCTTCTTCCCTAGTTTCTGAAAGGGTTTTGGCCTGCTTGTACATAAAGATATCTTGTGCTTCTGCTTTGTTTTCCTCTTGCTCTTCTGGTTTGGTGGTTTCTTCCTGACCTGGAGAGTCATGTGGTGGGACATTGACACCTTCCACCTCTGTAAAAGTGTATAGCGTTACTGTTAAATAAAAGCAAAGTACGTGATACGGTATATTAATAAAGCACAATATTATTGAGACCGCATAATAAATCTTGAGCGAAAGTGAGGCCAGTAGCAACCAATAACATTTTTTTCTCTAGCGAAGACTGGAAAATTGAAACTTTATTTCATACAATTCTAACCCTTTATAGACCTGTATAGCTGACATGTTTTGTGATTGAAGGATGGGGAGGTAGGGGGTATGTCAGGCCAGGTCAGTTACTGAATGCTGAATACAGTGTACACTGGGTTTACAGTAACTCTGGTGCCTATTGGACTGCATGGTCATCTTTAGAAATCCTGCACAACTGCTGTAATAGGAAAGTGGAGGTAAAACTATTGAAATGGGGGTTGTTACATACTGCAACTATGCCTTGGTGGGGTTTGCCCCAATCTATGTTTATGGTCAGCAGAGAAGAGAGCCAGTATCTGGAGTACATCTCAATCTCCAGTGTTGACCTGATTAACCCCTACATCTGGAAGCATGTACGGTATATGGGTACCTGTCCCCTGCTGCTCAGTTTATTTCTCCTGTGGTGGACCGGTTCAGTCACTAGATCCCCTGGATCCCACATACAAACACTTATCATACGAAAAGCATAAGTAAATTACAGCTACCAACAGATTAAATATCCTCCTGAAAAAGCAGGGCACCCTACGAAATTCGTTGTGGATTGATTTAATCTTTCACCCCTGGATGGGATGATCACACTATTTAGCTCTTTGGTGTCCTGCTGTTATTTTTCAATTGTATATAATCCCAAGTGGGGAGGGGGCTTGTGTAGTAACCAGCAAAGTGGTGCTGATCTAAAGGCAGATGGGCCACTTTTCCTGGTATAATTATTGGATGCATATTTTAACCATCATTGGTTGAAATAAAATCATCTCATATAGGCTTATATTTTTACTGATCCAATATTCTAGTGGAAATTAGGACCAGTAAAATTAGAACCGTGTGCCAGATTCTTCATTTGCTGAGTAAAAATTTGTTAACTTGTTTTCTTCATTCACCGTATTGTCATTGAGCTTCAGCAACCTTCCAAAATTGACTGACAGATACTAGATGAGCAAGCTGTACTCAAAATTGCCCTTATATGCACAGAAAAATAGACTGATAGGTAGATAGACCAACTCCAGATGATTTTTGTTTTTAGCTTTGTAAATAGTGGGGAAATTGGAACTTTGACTTTATCGGGAGATTTCTCCTGACGTCTTACCCTGTTGCACCAGTAACAGGAAGGCACAGACAGCAATGAAAACCTCACAAAGGTTTTAGATCCTGGTGTCCAACCTGCGGCCCAGGGTCTACATGCAGCCCGTTGTCACTTTGTGTGCGGCACTTGGGGCCCTTGCAAACAGTAATCTGTGTTTCTCTATTTCCCTGTAGTGATTTCTTGCAGTCTCTTGTAATATGTCTCCAGTCTATAATGGTCTCCTGAAGCATACCCCCCATCTCAAACAACATCTACAGTATGTCCACAGTCTTTGACACTCTTCTGCAGCATGTTCACAGTCTCTAACAATCTCTTGTGTCATGCCCATGGTCTCTGACCATCTCTTGTGTCATGCCCATAGTCTCTGACCATCTCTTGTATCATGCCCATGGTCTCTGACCATCTCTTGTGTCATGCCCATAGTCTCTGACCATCTCTTGTATCATGCCCATAGTCTTTTTATGTGCAATTCTTTGGTGATGTGCCATTTGAAGACCTCCATATCAAGAAAATTGACCACCAGTGTTTTGGACTCTACCCTCTCTGTAAAGAATGTTTTTTGCTGTCACTTTCAGTATTGGAGAAATTTCCTGTCACTTTTTACTTCTGGCCCTGCATAGGATCAGGACGTGAGGAGTAATCTCCCCATTGGAACCCTGACAGCAATAAATACTGACAGGTGTTCTGACCTCCTCTGCTCTGCTCTATCAAAAAAGAAACAGATTTGAATGAAAGAGGGCTTTAACTACATCCAATAACAGTGACTCATAATGCAAATTACATATTACATTCAGCATATCTAATCAGATAATTCAGCTCCACAATTTCCTGATTTTGGCTTGTGGTGTTAATAACACATGGAGTGAAGCAAATAGATCTATAGCCAGTTAAAAAATATCATTATGCTATAAGACAGAAACTTTAAAAGTTCTGTTTTTACCTAATGTGGTCTGACAATCTTCTCCATTGTTGTGCTCCTCAGAGTGGGTATTATGGCTGGTTAACCTTCCAGAATCTTGTTCAGCAGCTGTGTCTTGTTCTGCCTGATGCTCTGCAAAAAATGAAAACGTAAGTGCAGTACTTTAGAGTTTAGAACAATCAGTATATTAAATTACATGGGTTCCTTGTACTCTAAAGGTAGCCATTGGTTGGATGACCACCGTACATCCCTATCGATATTCTGTATAATATTATCTGGCATTAGTGCACACTAGATTTAATAACACAGAATTAAACTCAATTTCAACCATCAGAAAGCTTATATTACTTACTTTTGCAGATAGTAAGCAAGCCCAACAAAGGTACCAGGCAGCAGATGCATCATTCTCGGCACACTGGTAGTACCGAGATTCACTGCATTCCGCAACATTATGCCAGTCCCCAATATGGGTCCAAAGGTTTTAATAAACCATCACATAGTTACAGCAAGGCAACGTTTCGGAGTCTCGCAGGACCCCTTCATCAGGCATGTGTCACATGCCTGATGAAGGGGTCCTGCGAGACTCCGAAACGTTGCCTTGCTGTAACTATGTGATGGTTTATTAAAACCTTTGGACCCATATTGGTGATCCTCGGTGTGCTGGTGACATTTTTTCCTTGCTGATTTTGTTCGGTTCCAGCCGACGGTCACTGCAGCACCCACTCATACACACAGCCATTTTTTAACGCAGGAACGTGTGCGTTTGGATCATATACTTGCATTATGCCAGTCCCTTCCCTTCTTCATGAGGGCAACACTGTTGCAAACCTAAAGGGGACTCGGTGTGAAGTTAGTGGCGTGGTGTGACACATTTCAGGAAGAGAAGTACTAAATCTGAGCCAAAATTTTCTCCGACTGTGGTTATGCACTCCAAAAAAATTTAAAATACAATATGTCTACTTGTACATGCCAGTGTAGTTATTGGCAAAAGAAGAGTGGATTATTTGTGGATTTCTGATGTTGATGGGAGGGTTTACCTCTGCTTTAGCTGGCCACTTTAGATTGCCATTTTGCTAGTATCCAATATAGTGGTGCTATCAGTTAATTTTAGGATATTATCAAATTGTACAATTTCTTGCTTAAGTTGAACTTTGCAGGCAAAGTAAAAAGTTTACTTAAAAAAGAATTCTGGGATAGTCAAAAAGATCACCCATTAGTACACCCTCCTACACAAAACATTAAACAGTTGATACAATTTTGAATATCCTTACTATTTAGGAGAAAAGTCTAATTGAATTTTCCTGATGTCATCTCTGTAATTCAAAAGATAGCAGCATCTGCTCTGCCAATAGGAGGTGTAACAGCTGGGATTACGTCATATCCTCTCTTATCTCTCTCTGCGTTAAAACGAAACTATAGTTCCCATCAACCAAAGGGAATAGTAGTGAATGTGGGCAGTTACACTAGCCCTGTAAATGTTGAATGCGTCAGTGTCTCACTCTGCCCACCACTGCAAGTGGGGCTGAATTACATCACTGCTTCCTGGAGAAAGAACTACAGAAGGGATGTGACAAGACCAGTGATTGGGGGAATAGGAGGCATAGCAGCCACTGGTCTTACAAACAAGAAACCAAAGAGAATTAACAGTTTGATTTGAAAATGAATTAACTATTTCAGAGCAACTACTCAGGGAACCAGAAGATGGATGACATATTCGGTGAAGGTAGAAAATCAGCAACAAGGACATGTAAAGATGTTTTTGTCCGAAATTGTGCTTTCCTTGCTCCTGTGCTGATCTGCATAGCCATTGGAACCAAAGAAAGAAAGCCCAGGGTATACTCCAAACTAACGTGTTGAAGATTGCACAGGTCTATGGATTCCTTTCCCGACACCATATGGCAGCATGCTGTCAAAGCCAATGGTACCCAGCACTGTCACATTGGATAGGGAGCATGAGTCACGTATTTACCCATGCCCAGGAGTACTGGGTATATCAATCACTCACAGTGAATGAACAGATCAGAGTGGATGTCAGGAGAGGTTAGTATATGTTGTTGGGGATAAGGGGAGCTAAGTGAACCATTTCCTTTGCCCTGCATGGATAAAGGGAACATATACTTTAACTGTATTTGTCAACATCATCCTACATAAGTTCTGAACTGTCATGGGTAGAGATAAAAAAAGCAAAAAGGGGGCCCATCAATAATCCAGTGGACTGGCTAGGGTGGCTGCTAATGTCCATAATAAATAAGACAACAATAGTGTACCAACCTCCTAGTCAGCTATAGTTGGCTAGATCCTAATGGTTAGAAAGGTGCTGACTAGCAGCTCAGGTGTAATAGTCAGAGGGGTAAAATTTTGGTCAGGAGCTGGAAGTCTATGCAGACTTAGCCCTCTGAGACTCCCCCCTGCCTAGAGCAGCAGCCTACCCTCAAGCTGTACAGGAGAGGATCTGAGTGAGTACACCTACACCCCCTGGGCAGATAGGGGAAGGTGCACTCTGGTGTGAAATCAGATTAGCCCCCTACTTATGACTGTTCACCTCCTTAAAGAGAAAGGGATACCTCCATATAGCTAGGTGAAGAGGAGAAGTTCATCTAGAGTCTAGGGTGGTACACTAAGGAGATGCTTGCTAGCTCTCCAACAAAGACTGTACTGCAGAAAAGGTTCGTACATAGAAAAAGTTTGTACATAGTTCCAGGAAGCTGTCCTCAGATGATCGGTACCCTTGGGAATCCTGTACACCTCTAACCATATCCAAGCTAAATCCCTTCAACAAACAACAAAACCAAAAGCTCAAGGACTGATTTCTGACTTTGGCTACAAGCTATTGTGGAAATGTGTGATGCCTGGCTGTGCAGGACCGTAAGGGGACCCAAATTTTCTAGCGACTCCTAAGGGGGTAGTGCTACAATAGAGGATTGTTTTTTAAATATTCTCTCCTATATAATAAACTGATTTGGACACTGCCAGCAGTGGTAGACAACCACAGGGCTAAGTGATGTTCTTGTGGGCAGGGTCCAATGCATGATTGAGTACCCCACACTCTTCTGGGGCTGGCCCCAAAAAGAGCAGACTAAGGCCTGCCTCAAAGGATGCACACAGTCTACATCCCTCTTGGTACTCCATTACATCCACACACATGCATATATGGTGTGTCTAAAACATGGTCTGCCCCTGTACACCCATTCACCATGCTCCTGGTCATCTGTAGCATCAACACTCTTCCAGCTGGGGACACTTCTTGCATCAGGTCTGATATCTTACACGTGGTTACAGGAAAGATCTCGTACTCCCCTATCCACCACCATCCCCTAACCTGACCAGGTTTGCACAGAGTTGGTTCCACTGGGATCCTTCTTCTCAATGTGTGTTTCTCATGAGACGCATTGTCTAACATATGCTTAACAGGGCGCTATCCCACTTCACTGCAGTAAAGGTACCAAGTAAGCAGCCACAGGCTTGGTCTAACTCAATTTTTTTAAGTAGTTAAATTCAATGAATTCTCAATCAGCAATATACATGTAATGCTCTCTAGTTTAGCCAGAGAGAGTTTATTGTTTTATTTTTTTAGGTAGAGGCTGAGTATCAGCCTGGGATGAGTCAGCCTGAGTGAGGCAGGAGTTCACCTCAGGACAGGCTGGGAGGCTCTAACAGGGCAGGGCTTCTGGAGCCCTTCCACTCTTCCAGAAATTTAGATAACTTTCTGGAAGAGAGGTGGAGGAGGGAAGAAGGCACAGATCTGCATGTTTGAAGGATCTTGGCCAATCCCCTGGCAGAAGGCTGGGCATCTCTCAAAAATGGCAGAGCCTGGGCAGCAGGGGCAGAGTGTTAGATGGAAGATGGAGTGAGGAACTGGAGTTCCGAGCCTGGGAGGGGGCCCCAGGGAGAGGGCCTACCTACAGGCAGGTGGAGCAAAGGATATCCAATGTGCCACTGTCTTCTAGGAGTAACATCCTGAACAGCAGGGAAGAAGCCAGCCTAGCAAAAGGTCTGAAGGCAGCCACCTACCCATTAAGCTATCAGGAAAGACAGTGTGAGTACTCTTACACCCCCTGGGCCACATAAGGAGAGAGGGCAGTCAGGTGTAAAACCCAACTAGCTTCTCATCCAGGGCTGCTACGTTAAATTGGTAGTTTCTGGGTCCCCTTACCCAGGGAATACCCTCCGTACAGCTTGGTGAAGAGTAAGATTCATCTGGGGTCTGAGGATATACATCAGAAAGCTGGAATGATCTCAGATGAGAGGCTATTTTGTTAATATCTGTACATAGTTGCTTAGGACTTTGTCTTCAAGTTTGCAGTTCCCTTGGGTATTCCATACACCCCTCAACCCAATCCAAGTTATCAGCCCCTTAATAAAAATCACAAAAACAAGCTCGAGGACTATTTGCTGACTCTGAGTGCATTGTGTGTAAGAAAAAGCCTGTTGACTAGCTGTGCAGAGCTGTAGGGGGGGCCCAAAACTCAGTGACTACTTAGGGGTAGTGCTACATGGAGATTCTCCCTTTATGAAAGTCTACATTCTGTGCCTAGTAGCTGGGATGCCAATCTCAGGGGGGTAATGAGAACAGATTATATTGTTAAACCATCTCTCTCTTTTGGCTCTTCTCTTACCATCATCCATCCAGGATTCTGCCAGCTAAATTCACTCTAAGTATATATAAGATCCTGCCAGGAAGGAAATGAAATCATTCTCCTTCCTGGGAGGACTTAAAGAGGAAACCTTCTTTAAGGGGGAAATACATTAACCCATGCCTAAATGCTGGATAAATTAGTGGTGCTGGACACCTCAGTGCCTAATATGTTTGGTGACCTGTAATGTTGTAAGCATCAATCAGCACACAATGCACTCTACTATTGAAAACAACTAGCAATTATAGGATAATGGTGTTTGGGACAGGTGGCACTAAATTAAATTGTACAGAAAAGATATCCCATAGACAGAGTTAGGAAGGTGATGGGCCAAGAGCACTTCAATGATATAACAGAAATATATCATACTGACAAATCCATGGGATTCTTGGAGAATTCAACAACTGTCTTCCTCCCTTGTCACGATTACCAATTAGTTTTGTTACATTCAATAAAAAATGTGTAACTAGTCGATAAACCCTAAACACCCGTTACATT